TTCAAATGTGGCGCGATTGTCATGTACAAATATGATTGCCATTATATGATACTATTAATCCTCCAGCCTGAAGACCCGGTCACAACAGATTGTGGCACAATGAAATTTATTTGCATGTCTCCAAGAAATATGGTGACGTAGGGACTACTTGCAGGGCTAGTTGCTAAACTACTGTGGCAGCCCCCCCATTGGCTAGCATGCTAGTGCTACTCAGCCACAGCTCTCCAAGTTTCTTACAGTTTTCTCAAAACTGTGCTGTTTACATCTTTTTGGCGCTTTGTTGTCAGGATTGCACATTGTTTCATTCAATAAAGAGTTACTACCACTAACCTTCTGTTTTGGACTGTCAGAGCTGACAAAAGCTGAACCTGATATGAAAGATTGATTTGGATTTACTTTGACCTAGTGTTGTAGTCCTCGAGACAGGTCTTGGTCTCAAGACCGGTCTTAAGACCACTTTTTGATGGTCTTGTCTCGGTCTCGGACATTGAGGACTCGGGATTTTATTTCAACATTATAACTTTGTAATATCAATAAATTGCTTTTGCATTGTCTGATTTATTTGTTAACATCTTAACTTTGATTGGATATAAAATGCGTTTCTTCAAATGCAACCAATAACTGCCATAACCATAATACCATAATAACCATAATTAAAAATGTGTTGTTGCCGTCCCCCCTACCCGCGATGGTCAGCATGGAAAAGGAGTGTTGAATAGAGAAGCTTAGATTGATTTCAGCTCTTAGTGTTTGTATGTGGGTGTTTTAAAGGGAATGTGGATCTTTCAGATCAATCTGAGAAGTACTTTTGATCTCGTTCCACATTTTATTGTGTGTCATGCAATGTGGGGAACTGGTCTCAGCCCCTAAAAGTCTTGGTCTTGTCTCGGTCTTGATAAACTCTGGTCTTGGTCTTGACTTGGTCTCGGTTTGGGTGGTCTTGACTACAACACTACTTTGACCCTTTGAGTGATCGCGGATATTCCATTGAAACTGATTTCTCTATTTGTCAATGTGACTGGGCTGAAATGTGACTGCCTCTGTTAGTGCCTATTATCTTTTCAAGGGTTTGATTTGTAGCCCGACTATGAGCCGATATTTCGATTTTGAGAATGATTTGGATAGTAGACCCCTTTCCTGTATAAACTACACTAGAACAGGCGATATTGAAAGCTGTCCTGTATGTGGGCTATAAAACCTTTTCCTAAATGGATTATGTTAACAAAATAGATGACAGTCTCAACTCCAGATTGAAATGCAGTGCCAGGTCAAACGGCACTGACTGGAGAACTTACCTAACATGTTTTTGATTGCGGGGGAAACCGGAGCACCTGGAGAAAACCCACGCAGACACGGGGAGAACATGCATGCTGTGCTATCCACTAGGCCACCATGCTGCATCTAGTTCATCCCTTTACCAGCACTCTTTAATTCTAACCAAAGCTACGAGTAACCATTTCTCGACCACCAGCCGGCTCTAAATCATGCATCTAACACCACATGACTGTCTACAGCGAGGACCTGCAACTTTGTCTGGCAGGAAGCCGATTCTTGTTCAGCTCACGTCTATTTAAGTGTCCGCTCTGGTTTAATCATTTCCGACACACCGACTAAAACTACAAACAAACGGCTCGCAGATACATTTTGAATGAGTCAGAAACTGTAGTTTAACGGCTCATTAACGTTAGCGCTCCTCCACTGACGGGCAGCGTTAGCTGCTGTAATGTTACGTGACTTAACAGAATATTTAGAAGTGATAAACTAGGCACAAGTGAGAGGACCGTTCGCTAGAACTGCCACACCGTTTCAAAAATAAATCTACAATCACGTTTGTCAGCAGCGTAGCCTCTGACTCAACTAACGTCACCGTAACATTAAACATACTGAGACATAATGGGAGGGTTAGCAAGTCATGAATGTTTTAAGGAGAGGAGAAGTGATTAGGACTGTTGTTTCTACGTGCTCTGGTAGATTCCGGTCAGCTGATTGTTTTCTTCTGTGGTTTTTGTGGTGAGGCAGTGTTGTTAAAAGGGGAGCTGCAGCTGGTTCCCCTCTGGTGGCCAAACAATGCAACACTGATGACATGAGTGAAGGATCTGACTCTCTGTTTCTTTTTTAATGGTCATATATCGGCTGTTAAAAAACGTCCGATGCTGATTAAATGCGATTATATCGATCATATTGGCCGAAAAAGCGGTCGTGCTGTAGTTTGATTTTCAGCTTTGAAATGCTGTGGTGTTTGATGCTGTCCAGTTTTGGATGTCAGAGTTTCATAAACATAGCTGGGGTTTGACCTCTTGACCTCGAATCTGAACTTCACCATGACACGGCACATTCTGAGTTAGAGTGGCTCAGAATGTGCTGTTGTTGGATTTTAAACCACTGAATAACTTGAGTCTCTGAAATATATAGTCCATGAAAACCCTGGCTTCGAAATTGGGATTAGACAGATATTTATTGTGCATGGCTTGCAAGAATTGTCTGAATTGATTTAAAAAAGAATGTCTTTGATACCATTACTAGCTTCAGTGCTACAGTTCCACTTCAGATGTTTCCTTTGAAGAGGGCTAAGAGAAATTGCACTTCCTCACTTCCACTGTGGACTATTTTGCTGATGCACAACTTCCCGAGCTTTCTCATGCTTTCTGAATTAGTCCCAATGACAATTCACATACAGGCGCACGCACACACACTCCACGACCATCTGGCTGCAATTGCACAAAACGGAAACGCACATGTTAGAATATATCACTGTGAGAATGTTTTGTGTCTGATTGTGTTTTTCTTGGTGGACGCACAATAGGCTCTATTTGTGTGCAAATGCCTGCGGCAAATGTTGGCCTCCAAGCAAGTCAACGTTCTGCATTTAGACGCTCAAACATAAGTCTGGTGTTTCCGTTCCCTTCATTCCTAGAAGTAACTCTGTCTTCCACGTGTCTGATGTACAACAACGACACACCTTCAGACACCTGGTTGAGAAAGCAGATAGTCATGATCTGGCATTGGGACTATGTTGGTAGTTGAATGCCCATTCTTTAGTTTTGGGTTGTTTCTAAAGGTTATAAGTTGGTATTTCACTGGTGAGGCTGGAGTTTGGGGTAAAGTTAGTATGATTCTGAGGTCTCTCTCTCTCTCTCTCTCTCTTTCTGGTCGGTGGTTTTCTCTGGGCGTTTGGAGTCTGTATTCTGGGGCCTGCACAGCCAGACTATAATTTACCCTTTGCATTTACTGTTTATGTTCCCGTGAAGCTTTCTACAGCAGAGCATCCTTGGTGTCTCAGCTAGCTCTCTGTGTGGGACTGTCCAGTGATCACTACCATGGAGGAGGCCTCCACTCTAAAGTGCAGTCATCCAAATAACAAATATTAGCAGCATAACTCTTTGGCGTTCTGTATTTTTATAGGATAAGTCTAGGGAAATTCTTTATTTTTCTTGTTGTCAAGAAATGATAAGGCCAAAATCCACAATGAATAGATCCTTTCAATATGTCATACACACCAATTATTAGGGCTGGTTATTGTTGGAAAATTTTCAACATCATGCAAAGACAATATCCAGTCATTTTTGGGGGAAAGGTTAGTTTGGATAATATTATTTGATTATTATCAATTGATAATAATGAATATTACACCCTTTAAATAGATTTCTGTAGGCTTAGGCTGTTTGTGCTTTAACAAATTACTTTCCTGATCAGAGAGGCTGCTCTCAGTTCATCCTGATTGGTCCTGTCGGAGTGTCGGGAGATTCAAATAATCAATGACGTTGTGCCGCTGTACCTCGTGCGTAAATGCGCGCAGCCAAACCCCCTCCACACGCTATTAATCAGAAGGTTAATTTTTATGACAAAGACCCACCCAATCCGCGAATACAACTCCGCACATCACTAGAACCTGCAGGAACACCTTATTATCAGAAGAATGCGCCCATTAAATAGCAGTGAAAGTAACGCAAAAGTAGTGTAAAGCATTACAATTCAGAGACGGTAGTGTTGTCCATCTATCCATCGTCAACCGCTTATCCTGCGTACAGGGTCGCGGGGGGGCTAGAGCCAATCCCAGCTGGCCACACATAGACAAACAACCAGTCACACCTAAGGACAATTTAGGGTCACCGATCAACCTGGGCCGCATGTTTTTGAACGGTGGGAGGAAGCTGGAGCAGCCGGAGAGAACCCACGCAGACACTGGGGGATCATGCAAACTCCACACAGAAAGGCCGGGGCAACCGGGCTTTGAACCCGCGACCTTCTTGCGCCCTTGTCTAATAAAATATTGTTTAAAATAAAAACAAATATGAGTAACACTGGCGACGTACAATATATAAAGATCAGTGAAAAGTGCCACCAGCCAAATACTTTCCTCTCCGCTGCAAGTAGATATGCCTGATGTTTTCAATACTGCTTGGACTGAATGTTTTATGCTTCGTTTAGTAACATCTGTGCATGTGTGGTAGTCTGCGGTTAGCCAAGCCCACACAGGCTCATGACATCATGGATTGCTCTGATGTTTTCTTCTTCTTTCTTATTCTTCTGAACCTCTCTCTTTACCTTCATCTTTTTCCCTCGGTACCCCCAGCCGGTCCTGGCCGTACATCCACCCTCTCCTTAATCTCTTTTTCTTCTCTCTGTCCCCCAGTTGTCTCTCCCCTTCAGTCTCTATTGACTTGATCCTCTCTCCCTCTCTGTCCATAGCTGTATATGGCGTTGAAAAAGAGAGTTCCACGGATGGACTCTCTGGTCTTGGCTAGTGGAAGCAGACTTGTCTCTCTGTGTAAATATTTGCACAGAGGGATTATAGATGGTCCCACGCATTCAAGGTGGAGCCCCACTCTGCTCCAGGCCACATTAGGGCAAAGAATGGCGCTGAGTGTAGCTTCAACATAACATGAGAGGAGTTGATGTGACATGACATAACATAACATGGTGGTGAGTTGTTGAAGTATGAATTGTTATATGATTGATCTCACTTTCTATTTCTCTCTGTCGTTGTCTTCTCTGGACAGGCACCGAGCAGCGACCTCCCGCTCAAACATGTAGACACCATGGTGAGTTACAACATTTTATTTTTATTTTTTTTACTTCACTTGCTGTTTCTTCTCAGATCCAGTAATCTCCTTTTACTTCGATTACTGAATTGAAGGAGACGATAAATCTGCCTCTATAATGTGTGCAGTCAGGTCATGTGTGTGATGTAGGAAAGATGTTAACTATGAGTCTATAGAGGCAAGTGCTTGAATGACAGCTGGACCTCTTTTACAGCAAATATCCCTTTAAACATTTATCAGCCCAATGCTTTATAGAACAACTTCAAATCAGTATTTAATTTGGCCTTGGAAGAGTACAAATCCAATTTATGCCTAAAAACACATCCATTGTTCACATCAAACACAAAGTTTTTTTCCTTTTTATCTTGACTTGAAATTGTCTCACTGGAACTGAAAATGCAGCGTTAGAACAAGACAATCAGGGATTTCTGTGCTGGGAATCAAGCCGGGCTGCTGTACCAAACTGCTGATTCTGTTCCCATTAGAATTTTTTCCTTCACTGTTTTAAAATGCAGACACCGAGGATGTGCAGTGTAGTGTAACATGATGCAACAAGTTTTCTACTTGTGCCTCATGCGGGTCACACATGCATGCATGAAGGTTAAAGGTCAAGATCGGCTACAAGGTTTTATAAATTCTTAAGCTAATGTCAAATAGACATTCTGAACCCCAGTTTTCACAAAATAATAAAAATCCAAACGCCAGTCAACATAGTCAATATTGATTCTCTGTTCTCCTCTAATAAAGTTGGATGTGTTAAACACCCATCAGCACCGCAATCGTCACACCCTTACCTTTCGCTGGATATCGGGCACATAACTTCCTGCACTGGGACTAAATGTGGCCGCTGGGTATAAATCAGGGAAATCGTCCAATATGGACATGACTCCTAGCAATACTGGGCTGAATGATCAATGAACAACTCCAGTCAAAGTCATCTCCACTCCAGCCTGTTCACCCTGCTGCCTTCTGGGAAGAGATATAGAAGTTTCTGCTGCCACACCACCAGACTGCAGAGCAGCTTTTCCCCCCAAGCTATCAGACTCTAATTCATCCTCAGCACTGCTCCAGTGATTATAGTTTATTTCTGTTTACCATTTTTTACAATTGATTCTGTATTAATGAATCTTGTCTGCTATGTAGCAGAAGGGAGTCACAAAACCCAATTTCACTCTATAACTTGTTATATTGTGATAATAAACCTACCTACCTACCTCATCTGTGATCTCAGGACTAAAACTCATGAGCGTTGCATGTTTGCATCAGACAATCACTCCACCTTACATAACAACCAGGTATTTCAAAGGAACCTACAGACGACAAGAAACACAAAGTTCACCACAGTGTATCACACAGTCAGCGCTCAGCACAGAGTTCAACCACCAATAAATGAGGCATTATCTCAGTTCAAATCTCCACAAGAGCCAATGTCTCAACAAAAACCTGTTTTGGATCCAAGCAAGCGAACAGAAAAAATACTTTCAATAGAAAAGTTGGCCAAGGAAAATAAAACCAAGCGACGCCTCTTGTGTCTAATAGACAAGCTTAGTGATTCTCCGACAGCATCAGAGTTACCTCCCGTAGTCCGGCTGGTGCTGCTGGCAAGCAGGACCGACTGGGCCTCTTTTACTTGGTTTGAAACGCAGCCATTGATATTCCCTGAGCTGACTGGTGTGTGTGTGTGTGTGTGTGTGTGTGTGTGTGTGTGACGCATATGCGCCAATAGCCAAAAAATCATCTTCAATGCTAATTTCACCCTCACGCTGCATCATGCTGACATTGTGAGACACGTTACAGCTCGATGAGAAATATTGTCACGTTTTAATATCGCGAGGTCTCGTGGCATGAGCTCTTGTCGCGCCACTAGTACTAAGACAGACTAGACTATGACATCACCCTTAAGCCGTCACATGGTTGTTTAAGAACCATGGTTGTTTAAGGAACTTGAGGACCTCGTCGCTTCAGAGTAATGACTTAGAGCATACGTGTTGGCCTTGGGCTCACTAGTCAACTATGACACAACTTCCTGTGAGTTGTATTTTGTCTGGGAAAGGAAGGATCGAGTAACCAATTTAGAGTTACCACCCAAATCCAAGCGCCCACTTTCTCCGCAAGGACCAAAATAAACACAGATGCACCAGTGTGCTTCTCTGTGTGTTTGTGTGTGGCTGCTTTTAGTGGCATTTGCTGTTATTTTTCAGTTTTCTCCTGCAGTGTAGTACAGAAGAAGACACCTCTCTGCCTTTGTCCCAAAGCCACGCAGGAGCTTCACATCTGACAGCCTTTTGCACATGAGTTTTCCCTCTCAGGTCATAATTTGGTCTGCACCTTAACTAAGGGGCAGAGCCTGAAACACACAGCGATTACAAGCGTGTGATTAAATGTTTTCACGCACACAGTATCATCACACGTCGGTACAGTATGCATGTGTTACAGTGTAAATGCGTGTGTGTGTGTGTGTCTGCATGCGAGTGCAGCTGCTACTGTCTGGTCATGGGCATTTGCTGTGTGGTTCCACTGTGACGTCTGGGAGATATTTGGCTGAGCCTCGTCGCCTCGGAGCATCGCAAAGATTCGTCTTATGACTACATGAGCTTCTCTCGCTTCACTGGATCAGCCTCGGTTGGTTTGGCGTTCTTCTGCTTCTTTGCTTTAGTTTTTGGGCTTCTCGATGTAGACTGTAAAAATAGAGGCCCTGCTTTAACTCAGAAGGTTGTTTGACCTTGAAAAGTTAGGACGTTTTAAGTGCAATTTCTTGTGAGATTGCTCGGTCTTGGTGATTTTTGTTTTTTTTGTGATATAGGGGCAGGAAAAGGAAAGCAAACGGAAGGGCATTCTGAATACTTAATAGTTAAATATAATACTTACATTACAAACTCAACTCAAACAGCATTAAATGTGTGGTTGTTTGTGAAATCACCTGTGAAAAAGACACAAAAATGTCTTAATGTCACATTAAGATTTCACAGAAGAAGACACACACAAGCATATTGTACAAACTTGCATTTGACCGGGCATGACTAAACAGACTGACTGATGAAGAGCTACAATCAGCTGACTTCTGTGTGATGTGTTTGTGTGTACAAACATGCATCAGACCCCACATGTTCGCCTGAAGAGACGGAAAAGGTTAGCAGCTGCAATTTAGATGCGTACATAGATGAGAAAGAGGGAGGGAGGGAGAAGTTGAATATGAGGGGGGAGAGATAATGTGATGGGAGGCTGTGTGGGAGGGGGGGAGGGTGGCCAATACAGAGACCAGGAGGGAAAGAAAGAGAGGGAGAACACAGCGGACAGAAGGACAAGGAGCGTTGTGGAGGAGTCTGGTCTCAGCTGGAGCATGCACTGGCCCACTGCAGGCAGCTGCCCAAAATAGAGCCCTTTTTTTCTTCTTCTTCTCCTCCGCCGCTGTCAGAGAAAAGGGAGAGGTATCACAGAGGAAACTTCCCTGCAGGACAGAAAGCAGTGAGCGGCTCCAGAGATGAACCGAGGAGGGTCTTTGAGAAGGCGGCTCTCCTCTCTGAGGGGGGCCTGGCGATGGAGTACGGGTTACCTTTTCAGGAAGGTAGGAGGCGATGGAGGGGTAAATGGATGAATGAATGATGTAGTCAGCAGGGGTCCTGCAGCTTGTACCTTTCTTGTCCGCTCCTATATCGCTTGTTTTTTTATCTTTGTTATGGAATAGTTTCTCTCTACTTCTCCGCAGACTTTTTACCAGCCCCCAACGTATTTTGCCCTTCCTCCCTCCCTCGCTCCCTCCCTCGCTCCCTCGCTCTTTCTCAGATGGTTAATTTGAATGGCCTGCTTGTAAAGTCAACCTCCACAGATGGTTTTCATCTGGAAAAGGCTTGCTGGACCCCCCACTCCAGTTCCCTCCTCCTCCTTCTCCTCCTCACCCCCTACGTCGCCTCCCCAACTCCTTCTCAACGCAAAGTTCTCAAAGGAGAGAAACCGGTCTTAGGGTGCGGATTGTGTGATCAGCAGCTAAGGTCTACAGTATTGATCTGCTTCAGAGCTGTTGTTGCTTGATTGTATCTTGCTTGATAAGATCTTGCCGCTGTGATTAGAAATTGGAGCCACTTGACTTGACTTAAGATTCTCAAGATTGACATACATTGTGTACAGTAGACTCCGTTCACAGAATCATGATGTTTTTCAAGAAAAAAAACATCAATGTGGCCATAGAGAAAGTATTTATTGTATTACTGACCCCAGCTTCATTGCAACATATTTTCCCAGATGGTTGCACTTTGCCTTAAATATTAAACTGCTCTGCACACCAGTTCACACTAATTTGAAGCAAAAACTATGAAATTATCTGCCATCTTAGCAGCACAATATAAACACCGTCTCCTCAAAACTCTTAGTCTCTAATTAAGATATTTGCTTGCATGCTGGTTGAACTGGTGGCACATTTCTCTGACATGTTTTGCCATTCAAAAACTGGAGGATGTTCTGATCACCTAAATGCCGTGGTGCATTTAAGAGTACTTTGGGCTTTTCCTGACTTTGATGCACAGTAAGACTCACAGCTCCACTTAAAACAAGCACTCGAAACTCTCTTCATGCTCTGCGTCTCTCTCTGGACCCCCTCTTTCAGGCCATTTCTTGCTCATTCATCTCTGTCCTCCTCTGGCGACTCTGCACTTTATAGCCCCTGGCAACATACTGAAACGTTTAGGCCAAAGCGCAGGCAGAAAATGGGGGATTTGCTTTGTGTCGCCTCAGTTGGGCCAAAGACTCATGTGAGTACTTGGGATGGAAGATAAGAAAGGAATGTTGTGTAGAATTGGTTAAAATTAAGTGAATTTGCTGGGAAAGAGAAGAACGCAGGCAAACACTGGAGCATCTGATTTGTTTATGTCTTTTTGTGCCTGCGTACGTATTCATTTAGTCCCTCCAAGAAGTTTTGTTTTTTTTACTCATCACTGCAACCTAAAACAAGACAGAGTCGCGGTGGATAACACACATGGCTTTGGTGTAAGAGACCCGGGTTCAATTCCCCAGTGTATCCCTGAGCAAGACTCTTAACCCCTAGTTGCTCCAGAGGCGTGCAACCTCTGGCATATATAAGTCACTTTGGATAAAAGCGTCAGAATAATGAAGTAATGTTCTATGTAATGTAAGTAAAAGTCAATCATCAACTTCCTTGGTAACTACAGTGAGTGTCTGACTTTGTTTCCCCAGAGCATAGACCGTGCTAGAGTGGGGCTAGATAGGGCTATAGTCCCACCAGCAATTAAAGTTGTTTCCCTGTAGCCCCACCAAGACTACAGATTTATCAACATCTCGGTCTCGGATTTCATGAACAGACTTGAACTTGATACAGTTTAAATCAGCTGTGGACAACAGATACTAGAATAATCATAGATCAGTGCAGATCATGTTCCTGCTTTCACTACATTAAACACAAATTTTTGAAGCCAATTTAAAATGTACTCGCTCGACAGTATCTAATTAAAATAGTTTATTTCAAGAGGTGGTATTCTGCTTTTTGCCCTTTTCCCCTCTCCTTTGAGTTGTATACCTTTTTTGTGCATGTAATAGGTTTGCAAAGTGAAAAAGCCCAAAGTCCAGCCCTCCAGGCAGTCAGCGGACATAAAGTTGTTCCTGTGGTGTAGAGACAGAGCTCAGTTAAAACTTTATGGATACAGATTAATAACTCACCGCTCTGAAACTCTCGCTCCAGTCCGTGTTGCCAAGCTGGTCGGCAACACGTACAGCTGAACCCGAGCTGTTTACCGTCTTCTCGCTGACCCGCCCTTCTCTGCTTCCTCCTTAACTAGAACTGAGCATGTGCAACTCCCAACAAAGATCATTTAGAGACAAGATGTATCACTCCATAGCTAAAACGAAGCCTCCAACACAGGGTGGAAAGAGGAGCTGCAGCAATGTGCAGTATGACAAAAATGTGTTTTTTGAAAATGAAAGCATGTAAACCTGTTCTGGTACAACCTCTAAATAAGATTTTCATTTGTTGCTGCAAGAGTTTAGTTTGCTGGACTTTAGTGGCAGCAGAGGGACGTCAGTGCAAAGTCTAAGACCCATTTTCCACAAATACCAACAACTCGCTTTGCCCTGCCTCATTTGAATGAACCTCCCACCTGTTTGTGCCTCTCCTCCCACCAGTGCACTGCTCTAAAATACCACACAGACCAGCAAAGGTCAGGAAAATATGACCAGAGCTCTGGTTATTGCACTGCTACGAAGTAGGACCCACAGACTCTTAACAGAGTTAAGTTATAAAAGCAAATTCAATTTCCTTGCTAGGTAGATGGCTAGTGCTTTTTATATCTGACTTGTAATTTTTATATTTTACTCGCAATCTATTGCAAAATAAAAACAAAATTGTTTTTTAACTGCACACCATATATACTGGATGTTGCCTCCGTTTGCTTTAAACGTGTACACTGACAGACAGTCAGGTGTGAGGAGAGCAGAGCAGGCTGAAAGTCATCCAGTGAGGCGAGTCATGCAGCCAGTCTGATCTAATAGATGATGATGGATAACAGCCCCCTCCTGTGTACATGTGACCCAAACACCACAGGGGAGTGAACCAGTCCACATGGCCTTTGACCCCCCCCCCCCTTCCTTGAGCTGGTTTGAGGGGGAGGAATAGTGGAGCCAAACACAGTCAATCACCTTCAGCCACACTTCCTCTGCAATGGCCTCTCTGCTTTGCTTTGTGAGGGGTGCCTTGTGACACCGTCCTCACACGGTCCTCCTGCACAGCAACATGTAAAAGAGCCCATATCAGGGTGCATATCAACACCTTGCATCTCTATGGGTTTAGAGGGACGGATATAATTTCAGACTCCAAGTAGCTGCCTCCTCTCTGCCTCTGTGTTTTACAGCATTAGAGCAAGTTAAGTGTTTCTGTGTTCAAGCTCATTTCCGCCTTACATCAGCACACCGTCAGACTGTTAGCTACCTGGTATGGCTCGTATCTGTCAAATCATCAACAGTGCAGATTCAAAAACATTAACAGAATGTACTTGTGGTACCATCAGAGAACAGCTTGGCTCTTATTTTATAAACACGATCAATCACTGGAACTGTAATAATATTATCACAATACGTTCTGGTAATACAGTCCCCTCCAAAAGTACTGGAACAGTAAGGCAAGTTCCTTTGTTTTTGTTGTTCACTGAAGACATTTGGGTTTAAGATCAAAAGATGAGACAAGAGTTCGGAAAGTCAGCTTCTATTTCCTGGTATTCACATCTAGATGTGTTAAACAACTCAGGACTTATCACCGTTTAAATTAGACCACAGCATTCTGAGGTGAGCAAAAGTGAAGGAACAACTAATCTTAAAGTAAATAACATTTAATATTTGGTGGCAGAACCCTCTCTTGCAATAACTGCCTCCAGCCTGCGACCCATCGACATCACCAAACTGCTGCATTCTTCATTTGTTTTTTTTGTGTTTGTTTGTTTTTTTAAACCTGTCCTGCCCAGCAGCCTGGTATAGACTATGATGACCTGGATACCATATTGTGCCAGACAGATTTTACTTTAACAAGAGAGTATATATAATATACTCCTTTGTCTGTTTTATTATTTATTTAATTATGTATTGATTGTCATCGTGCTGGACAGGGGGGCAGACACGGGGATGGGGGGGCACAAACAGACAGCACAGAGAAAGGACAAGACCTGCAAGAGAAGGGGGATGGAAGGTGGGGACAACAGGGAAAAGCAGAAAGCAACGAAACCTGCAATAGAACAGAGAGGGGGGCTTGGGGAGGAGAAAAACAACAACAAACAAACACAAACAAAAACAAACAGTAAAAATAATAATAATAGTAAAAGAAAACCAGCTGAACAGCAGCAACAAACATAGCATCACAAATGCATTCTTCATTTGTGATGCTGTTCCTTTAACTGCAGCTTCTTTCACTTTGTGTTTGTTTCGGGGTGTTTCTCCCTTCAGTCTCCTCTTAAGGAGGTGAAATGCAGCTCTGTTGGGTTCAGGTCAGCTGATTGACTTGGTCAGTCTAAAACCTTCCACTTTTCCCCCTGATGAAGTCCTTAGTTTTGTTGGCAGTGTGCTTTGGCTCATTGTCCTGCTGCATGATAAACTTCCTCCCCGTTAGTTTCAATGCGTAAACTGGCAAAATGTTTCTGTCCACTTCTGAATTCATTCTGCTGCTAACATCATCAGTTACAGCAGTTCCTTTCTTTCTCCACACTTTGGCTTCTCCATCACTTTGCTAGAGATTAATCTTGGTCTCATCAGTCCATCAGATTGTGTTCCAGAAGTTTTGCGGCTCATCTCTGTACTTCTTTGCTAATGTCAATCTTCCCTGTGCGATTCTTCCTGCTGATGAGTGGTTTGCATCTTGTGGTGCGGCCTCTATGTTTCTGCTCTCTGAGTCTTCTTCCAACAGTGGATTGTGATACCTTCACCCTGCACTGTGGAGGTCGTTGCTGATGTCACTTCCTGATGTTTTGGGCGTTTTCTTCACAGCTCTCAACATATTTCTGTCATCAACTACTGTTGTTTTCCTTGGCCGACCTGTTGGACGTCTGTTGCTCAGTACACCAGTAGTTTCTGTCTTTTTCAGGAGGTTCCAAATTGTTGTGCTGCTCTGCCCAATGTTTGTCCAATGGCTCTGCTCGATTTTCCTTCTTTTCTCAGCTTGACAGTGGCTTGCTTTTCTCCCACAGACAGCTCTCTGCTCTTCATGTTGGTTTATCCTCTTTAACAGGAAATGCACTCTTTATAGGTTTGAAGCAAGGATGAAAACTTAGACTAGTCATGCAGAGATATTTAATGTTTGGACAATCAACCTAAAAGGCAACACCTGGGCTACAAGAAACATCTGTCAGTCACATGTTCCAATAGTTTTGCTCATTTGTAAAATGGGTGGGTTCAAACAAAGGGTGGTTTGTCCTGAGTTGTTGTTGTTAACACATCTAGATGTGAATACCCAAATTAAACCCAAATGTCTTCGGTGAACAACAGAAACAAAGGAATTTGCCTCACCGTTCCAGTACTTTTGGAGGGGACTGTATGTGGAAGTCTTGGTGTAACGTAAAACCAGAAGAGTTAGAAATAGATGATGCTGCTATGATCTCAAACAAGCTCTGTTGTTGGAGAAGCAGTAGATTTTGATGTCTTTCACTGTATGTATATTTCAGAAAACACTGTTTGTATGTAAGTTTTGTGCATTGGACATTAATTAATGTTATTCATTGTGTTTTGCAGGGCTCAACAAAATCTTCAAAGAGCATGGAGTCACGCCGCAGACCTTCAAGGTAGGAACTCTTCCCACTGCAAGTTTCCCATAAAAGGCTTCATTCGGTTTACTGGGCTGTATTTGTTGAATAATTATAGGAACCTTTTTTTTTCTCCAGAAGGACAGAAAGATAATGAAGGAGATTAAATAAATATTAACAACAACCATATCCATCCTCTGTCACATTTAACTCGAGTTATGAGGCATTTGAAATGAACAGTTTAAATGTATTACGATATTTGCTGATTTTACCAGGGGAATTAGTGAAGCAACATGGGCTGCCGTGAACTGGACCTCGCACTGTTTTGTTGGACACAAAAGTTATTTGGTGTCAACCCCTCTCACCCTGGCCCGTAGGGAGTCCCAGATGTTGTCAGTTGTGTAATTAATGTGTAAAACTTGACACCGCAACCGCTCACGCTGAAGTGCTGTGCTAAGCTTGAGTGACACTTTGATCCCCACGCAGCAAATCAAAGAGTCGATACAGAGTTATCAAAACAGTCGGATCATCACCATCGACAGAACATGCAGAGTATGTGTGTGTTCATTTACTCTGAAACAGCAGTCAGTTTCCATCCATATAAAGTCAAAAATCAAAAGAGCACAACAACACGGTCATGTGACGGTTGTCTCTTATGTAATACTCTGGCTGAGTGAAGGTATCCAATCAGACTAGTGGGTCCACACGGGCTTATTTACATTCTCATGAAGACTGATACCTTTTATCTGTATGGAGGCTTGTGCTGCTGATAACTGATATAAATGGGATTTAAGTTAAGGTAAAATTAATCCAGACCTATTTAGTCTTTTTTTTTGTTGCTGTTTTTAAAGTTATTTACTGTGTAATTCATTTCCAAACAAAACGCAATACAAACAACTACTTACAAATCACACTGCATATATTTATGCATACATTCCGACATTCCTACATTTTGAATGTGTAAATGTAGGAACACTGCAAGAGCAATTGGACTTGCTGCTTGTAAAGTGGGAGAGCTTAGAGACGACGTACAGGTTACTGCATGTCTGATTTCTACATCTTCCCTCCAAAATACATTTTTGAACTAATAAACACCGTTGGTTTAAAGGTTACATTAAGACACTGCCACGTCTCACTGCATGTTTTTATATGCATTCAGGTTGACACCTTGTTCTTTGTAGTGACTTGTAATATTCAGACAGAGCTTTATTAAAAGATATTTACTCGGGAAAAGGGCTGTCTAAGGATTTACATAGTCGAATCAGAATCGTCAAGTCCAAGGGATAGTTGAATCGTGTGTTTTTGTGTGCGGCGATTGTGAGCCGAAGCTAATCTCAGGCTTATTGTTGACCCTTTTTCCTCTCTCTCTCTCTCTCTCGCCTGCCATTCACTGGTCTTGTGCAGACTTTTGCGTGCCGACAGCTGCACGCACGTCGCGGTTCCTCGTTGGTCTATTTCAAGTAGCCGGCTGTTTAAAAAGGTGCAGATGACTCGGCACAACGCCGGCGAAGCTGGAGCTCTGTCTCTTCAGCAAGTCTTCCTCTGCTGCCACTTCACACACACACGCTAGGGTTACACTTTGGGATTTATTTACGCACTTTAAAAACATTTATTGAAAGTTTGTTTCTTTTTACATGTTTATTTACAGCATTAAACGTTGAAACGTGTATTGTAATGCTGTATATTAACTTTTTGGGAGAAAACTGGTAGTAAAATCAGACGTTGAGCACCCCCATATCGCCAAAATGGCATGATCCTTGTTTCACTGCGAAGCTTCGGCTGTGAAATTGACAGTCCTCCGCCCATCGAATCTTCGACTATTCTGGGTCAGCCCTACTCCAGACATATCATACATACCGTGTTTGGCCAGACAGATGTTTTAAAGCTGCCTTTTGGATTGTTTTGGGCACTTGGGAGCAGCGGAGCAAGCTGTAAACACAACATGGACATTTTATTACCTTATCAACAATTTCATATCAACTCTCCAGAGACTCCCTCGTAGAGTCAGCTAGTCGCTAACTTTGTCTGTGTGCCCCCGGGTGCTGGGCAGGAAATATCCGTTTATCAGAGCTTTTTTCTGAGCTTTTTTTTTGCCGTGCTGCTGCTGGAAACAAGGTTAATGAGACTGGGCCTGAAAACCAAAACAATGAGCTACAAGTAATGTGCAGTTAGTCACAAATAAATGACATGGTGTTTGTGCAGGAAGAAAGTATTTAGTCTTGTGTTTGCCGTAATGATAGAGTTTATCAGTTTAATCCACGTTTACAGAGTTTAATCAAGACTGATCAATGGCCCTTCAGATTGTGAGAAACTGTAGGTATTCGCCATCAGGATGAATGACACATCTGATCAAGGAGGACTCTACTTATTTTAAATAGAAGAGACAGAAGTCCTGGATGTTTCATTTTATTGCTTAGTGTTTATTGCTTTAGATATTATACAGGCTAACGTCTCAGGTTTCCTGATAAAACATTCCTACTTCAGAGTTGGTGTTTGTCCAAACGCACAAATCAGATCACTGCAGCGCTGAAATTGAGCATGGGGAGATAATGTGTCATTCGTCGATACGCAGAAAAAGCGCAATCACTTCATCTCTTCGGCCGATGAGAAGCAGGTTGGCGCTCGGCCTGTCGACGCTCGCTGGTTGATCTGGAAAAGGACCAAACCACAGGTCTATATTGGCCATGACTGCACCCAGAGGCGAAAGACATACATATGCAGAGAGGGAAATGAAAAGAGTAAGGCAGATAGAGAAACAGACTGAACTAAGACGGATGGGAAAAGGAGAGAAAGAATATGTCAGTGTCTCCTATATCGCTGGTGATGAATAATTTCCAGTAAGCAAGTTTTGAGTGGGTCCAGATGTACAGTACAGAGCAGGTTACAGTGTTTATATATTAAACTTGGAGAGTTCTTTTACTCCCAGACATATGAGCAATTTCCTCAGGGGTTACTCACAGCTGACAAATGTGGGAAATATGCTGCAGCAGACTGGGCGCTGAGGGTCCAGACACCTCCTCCTTAACCTCTTTATCTCACTGTCCACATACAGAACATAGACACTGAAGTGGACTGAAGTTCTAAAAAAGACAAACATATCAGCCTGGGCACTTGAAGGAAAAGGTCATGACCTTTTTAAAGTTAGAGAAAGCTGTTGGAATGGAAGCAACAGTTCAGTGTTTTGGGAAATGTGCCGAAACACTTTCTTTCCGAGAGTTTGATGAGAAGATTGTGTATTTAGAGGGCCAGCGCGAACGTGTTACCGATCTTTTCATCTAACATGCAGGAGAGCGACTATTCCTTTCTCTGCCAAAAAATCTAAAACGCTTCTCCAAAGCAACATTGTTGAGGCAAATCAAGAAGATAATGAGATAAGTACGTAATCATTTGGCAACGCAGCATCAGATTATGCTGCAGTAGCCGTTGGTGACCTCTGATAGACACTTATTATTTTTAGTAAGGAGCGTGAGATGGAATTACAGATCAATCAAGTGATTTTTTTGGGGGGGGGGGGTGGATTGTTTCTTTCTCCTTTTTCCTCCATGTCTCACCTTCAACGCTTCAACCTGATTTGACTCACAAGACAAACAAGAATAGTTCATATAAACACGTCTCCCCAGTCCGTCTGTGAGGTGCTCACGCTATAATCCTTGGGATGGCGTGATATTTTCATACTCGTTGGTATGTTGGGTTTATCTATTTAATCAGTTTCTCCTCTCTCTGTTTTGCCTCTTAGACAGACAGTCTGACAACACAACATGTGTTTAATTCAGAGGGGAGAGCTTACATTTCGGAGGCAATCTTGAACCCCTCTGAGTTTAAATGATGTCATTGTGGACATGGTATTTATGTGGTGTGTTGCTCTTCCCATATTAGGATATTGGTTTCTTGCAGTCTTGAAGAAGAGTGTTTTCTGTTCGACTGAATCTGAAATGTAATTTCATGCATTCAGGACAGTCGGCGACTTTCAGCGCAACCATCTTTGCAGATTAAGTAAGCAACCACATTTGTTATGCCTAGGCTCCAAATTAGTGACTCTTTGGATATGGAACGATAGGGGTACAGACAAGACAGTCATAACATGATGTGTCTTGTGAAACATCTCTGTGAAAGAAACTGAGTGTGCCCGTATTAACTCACAGGAATGAATCATGCGACAATGACGTCATCTGTGTTAAACATTTCCACCAGAAGATTGTTTGGAAAATACAATTGACTTAGGATGATTTAAAATTTTCTTACTGTTCACTAAGGAAAGCGTTCCTATGTAGCACGTCAGGTTATTGCCCAGATCATAAACTGTGACTGCTACAGAGAGGAGCGTCCAGAACTTTGAATCAGCCCTTCTTACCTATATGAAGGTGAAAGGTATGTTCAGGGCCTGAAGATCTCCTCCTTGTGGAGGATGTGATCGACTTCCAAACTGAATAAAAATATAGAAAGCATGAATACATCAAGGCCTTTTGGGGACTCTTGCGCTCGTTATGCTGTTGTTAAAGTGTTCACACACTAGCTGTCCTGATAAACACAAGCACGTTTGAATAAATCACACGTGCTGCATTACTTCTGGGTGTTAAATTGATATGAAAAACTGTAAATGCCTGTCTGTTCCTCTGACAGGAGTGCGAGTCTGCTGCAGTCCCTGGAGGAGAGCTACGAGCTGGACCTGATCTACATCACAGAGAGAATCATCTCCGTCTCCTTCCCCAGCAGCGTGGAGGAGCAGAGCTACGCTGCCAACCTGCGGGAGGTCGCCTCCATGCTGCGCTCCAAACACGGCTCCAACTACCTGGTACTGTTTCCTGTGTACATCTCAATGATTCTGGCCGGAGTTTAGCTATTAACTTTCAGAATAAATGAAGCAAATAGCGTAACTTTAGACAGGAAGATGAAATTATTAGAGATGCCCAGATCAGCCGCTCATCAGCTGATCTCTCTCAGTCCCGACCACACGTCTGTGGTCACCACCCAGAACCCAAAACAGCCTTCACAAATGTGTTATTTGATTTATTATGCTTTTTCATATTTTATTTATTATTCTTATCTTTAATGTTAAAGTGTCAGATGTTCAATGAGGTATTTAAAAGAAATCCCTGTGAGCCAAAACCTCAGATTTCCCTCTGTTCTGAATGAAAGAGACAGCTTGTTTCAGACAGAGGCTGACATGAGGGCTTGCATGAAGTGCCAGCATAAGATAGGAAATTATTTTTTTAAATTTTGAATCAAACAAAGCTGCAATACAGGTGTCACGGAACTAATAATATAATAATATAGGGCTGTAAATGCAGTGTAATTGGTCTCCCTTAAGCCGTCACTGCTGCTATTTGATACCAGTTGAAAACCTTTTGTAAAAAAAAATAAAAAATTAAATCAATAAAATCAACAGTCTTAAATCACATAGTAACCACTTTTCTCTCAGTATTAGGGTTGGGTATTGTTTGAAATTTTACGATACCAAAACCAGTACCAGTAAAGTACTTCCTTCGATACCTTGCATAAAATGCCACGTGTTGAAGCCAAAGTAGTTGATTTTTAGCCTATTATTATTTTTATTATTATGGACAAGCAAGGTTATCTATTTTACATAAAAGTATTGGGGAAGCTGTATCGCTCCTCATCATAATTAGGTCGTCCTCACGGGTAAGATTATACAGGGAAAGACTACAGCTTGGGAGTTTTTTAATTGTTAGTGACCAAATAAGTTGTGGGAAACAAATTTAAGGTAATTATTTGATAGACTACGCGTGTTGAAAGTAAATAACGGAAAATGATTTCATTAACTTTCGATCAATAAACTGAATTGTAAGATCTCCGCGAGTGTTTTTTCCTTTAACCTCCAAAAACGACAGTCACAGGTATAAAACGAGTAAGGAGTTTGTTTACCTATCAAACCGACTACACCTGAAGCAGCCGCAGCTGCAGCCGGAGGCTCCGTTAGTAAAATCAGCTGATCACTGCTGCGCCAAAAAAGCCTTTAACTGATGTGATGGAACGCAGCGATCGATCAGTGACAAGTGATGTGAACAGCAAAGTGTTAAATGACACCAGAACATGAAACCAACGGAAAGCCAAGCTTGTGGTGAGAAACCTGCAACAGTGGTGAGGGTTCGGTGAGCGGCTGTTAAAATCACGCATGGACTGAGCGCGTGCAGTTTATGGTGCAGACACATAAGGAAAAAAAGCCGTGCTCTTCTTTCGGTGTGTTGCTTGTGTATTTGGCTGCAAGCAAAACCATACAAAAGTCATTTTTTGCCGCGATCTGGCTACAAAAACTATCGATTGAATTCCTGGTTCAACTGGTTTTGATTCTAATGGATACTGGGCTGTTTTTCGGTCGATACCATAAAGGTATCGAGTAGCGATACCCATCCCTAGTCAATACACAATGTAATGCCAAAAAATGTAATAATAGTGTTTATTTTCACATCTTTAGCTCTTCAACCTCAGTGAGAAGCGTCATGACATCAGCCAACTTAATCCAAAGGTAAACCTGACTTCTCTTCCCCTCTCATCTGATCTCCTCTCTTCTCCCATGAATCTGACTGACTGTCTCTGCCCTCTCTCAGGTGGTGGACTTTGGCTGGCCTGACCACCATGCTCCGGCCCTGGACAAAATCTGCAGCATTTGCAAGGCCATGGACACCTGGCTGAGCGCGGACAGCCACAACGTGGTGGTCATACACAACAAGGTGAGACTGAAAGACGGGAAGATGGCGTGAGGAGTGAGTAGCAGTGGCAGTAGTGCGTAGCTGTGAGGAGATGTTGCTCTCCGGCTCTTCTCAGGACCTCTGCGTCCTCTGAGGCTGCAGCTGTTTTAAGTGTGCTTTCGTCTGCAGTGACGTTCTCCCTGAGTGAGAGAGCGTTTGTGTGTCTCTTTGTGTGCTTGTGTGGGTTGGGCTGTGCTGGACGAGGGTTAAGAAAACACAAATTAAGGGTGGAAGGCACGCCACTCATCATGGCTGCTTAGGTTTATTTACCCTTTACTCTTAACAATACCATAAAAACTGAATTGACCAATATTTTCCTGTTGTCGCCTAAACTTAGTTGCATCACATTAAACTCTTGTGGCAAACCGCTGAGTATGCCGAAACAAACCATAGAAAAGTGCAAAAACAACTGCTAGGCCAAGGTCCCAAATGTAATACCTAATCATTTTCACGTTAAACCCACTGTGTTGCCGATTGTGTTTTGCAACGTAAGAATTAACCATGGGATCCAAAAGCTCTGTGTCTCATTCCAAGAAGTTCCCACGGGGAGGCTAGAAACAAGTCGGCTGCCATAACAACTGGTGTTGTTTTACTGCGAGTTGAGTAACGCTGGTGATGAGCGTGTGGGCTTGGAAGTTGTGGTGGTCACTAAGGAAGCAGGCTGCGTTGGGTTTCCACATATCAACAAATCATTTCCATTGGGCTCCGTGCTGCTCAAGTGGCCACGATATTTATAATGTGGAACACACTTATCCTCCACAGTCGTCCCTGTTTTGAAGATGGATAGATGTTTAAAATGAATGCAATCCCGGTTTGTTGCCATAGTAACCCGTGCATGTGTATTTTTTTACAATATAAAAACAGGTAGAGTGACATAAGGGACATGTTTATTGTGATTATGATTGAAACTGATATTACCTCTGTGACAAATCTTTAAAGGGGCAATGTCAGTTGACAGAAGTCTTGTGGTGTATGAAACAAAACAGTGTTAAACTGTCTTGTGGGTCTCTAAAGTTTAAAGAAATAACCCTGATGATGGCGACTTTACATGTATAACAGAAAGCCTGAGATAGAAACCGTGTGAATTAATTTTGGAAGATGTGGGCATTTATTAAGCAGCATTAAGAGGCATACCAAAAAAAGATCCTATCAAGTTGCATTATGGGAATTTTTTTGACCTTTTATGAAATCTCAGGTCTTTTAAAACATCACACTTTAGCATTATGTTTCATTTCTAGTTTGACTTTTAAGTCGGTGTTTCTGCCGATCTATTTTAGAGAGATTGCGGGTTCTAATTTAGTATTTGAAGTTTGATGGTGAGGCTACCATTTGGTTTATATTTGGATCTTGATATTTTGCAATTAAAAAATACATAAATAGTGAAACTATCCCTATACTGACCATATTAAAGAATATGTAATGTTATAAAGATGTTGAAAAACACTGTTCATGGGACACATCATGTCCTGGGGTCGTATTACAGAAAATCCCTAACCGGCAGAGGGGTGGTGATGGAGCAATGAGAGACCCGGGTTCAATCCCCCACTGTGACCCATCCACCATTGTGTCCCCGAGCAAGGCACTTAACCACTAGTTGCTCCAGAGGCGTGCGACCTCTGACATGTATATAGCAATTGTAACTCGCTTTGGATAAAAGCTAAATGAATAAATATGACTGAGACGATGGACTTTCCATACCAGATCCTACCCTAACTGCCTTGGTAACCATGGTAACAAGGGTTAGGAACTGATTTAGGAAAAAGGCCGTTACAGATTAACAGTTCCTCAATGTTCCTTTGTGTTCCAAGTGTTTTACAGAAGCATCCTAACTTCATAAAATGTTAAAAATAAACTCTCCTAACGTCAGCAGAACTGTTGAGCTGTCTTTACTTTTCCACCAGCTAGAGTTTAATAACTCGTTTAATCCACATGGCTGCTCTTTTACTGCTTTTACAAGATCAACAAAATGTCAACAGGCGGAACTTATTAATTGATTCTACCGATGCGTTTGATGACCAAACCCTCGTTAGTAGAAATGTCTCATTATGTAACATAATGTGAAGGTCTGATGTAACAAAAGGATCCTAATGCAGGTCTTTGATAGGAGGAGATCATTAAATTCAAGAAATACATGAAAACATGATGACGTCAGCCCGCAGCCTTTATTATTGTTATTATTTTTACCGTCATTATTAACTAGAAGAGTTTCTGCCGGGGTCAGTGAGGGAGCGCAGGAGGAGCCACCACCGGTTTTTCTTTGCTCTCTGGACACAACAGCTGCTGTTCTCTTTTTGTCACTTGTAAATGGACTTATTTTCTTTCTGACAGCATCGGCGCTCCGCTGGATGCCGGGTATGCGGCGGTGACTGTGTCCACTGATTTAGCTCACTCTCTCTCTTTAATCTCCCAAAATAAGCGTTACGTGGATTTGGATTGGAGGTGTTGGTAACACCTCTGAGTCATCTGACTTGAGGTTCAATGATAGTTGTTGTTTCTGCTCCATTTTTAGTGAAAAGTGGCATCTGTTGCCAGGTAACAGACATAAAAGTTGATAACCGATGTTGGATTGAGTATTTAGGATTTCCTAACCTGAGATAAGAGAGGATTCCTAAAGTTAGACAGGATTTGCTTCTGTAATACCAAACTGAGAAAAATCTTATCTTAGACTCTTCCTGTCTGAGACTTAAGATAGGAACTTCCTGTAATACGGCCCCTGGGAGATAAAATCTGTTGCTGACTCTTGCTTGATTGATGTCTTTTCAGGGCAACCGGGGCAGAACTGGAGTGGTGGTTGCAGCCTACATGCATTACAGCAACATATCTGCCAGGTAGGTCTGTAATCCGAACTATACCTGCAGAGGGTTAAGTTGCAGCACACTTTGAACGGAAAGGTCAGACAGAAAAGGAGAGCGAGGGAGAAAGTTGAAGGAGAACAGGGAGAAGGCGGAGACATGAGGAGGAGACGGAGGAACAACTAGATAAACCAGAATTGTTTATCACAAGACTGAAGCCCACATCTAAAGAACAGACAGAGATGTGATGAACAGAAGGAGGGGTGGAACATGAGACTGGAGAAAAACAATTTTATTTAGAGAAATTCAAGGAAAAGTGTTTGATATAATAATTATGAGCAGAAAGCAATGAGTTAGCTGAAACACCAGTCACCAGATCATAAGACTCGAAAAGTTCTGTTTATTTTTTATTGGATTTGTTTTTAGATACGCCAAAAATAGAATCACATTCTGTTGACCGAGGAAATTTAAACTGTTAAACAAGCAGAGGAGCGCGTGACTCCCCGTTGTTTCTGAAAGAACACTGATTGGCCAGGAAGAAAATGTACACATGTTCTTCCCTGTGAAAGTATAAGATTTCTCTTTAATCTCATAATCCCACAAGTCAGTTACAGTGAAGTAAAACTTTGACAATTTAAGTAGCAGCAAAATACTAGAATAACACACTGTCGCGCTCACCATATAGGAATGTAGATTTAATGTAGAATATAGCATTAAGATGTTCTATGTGCTATGTCAGTGGTTCTCAAACCTTTTCAGGCCAAGGACCCCTAAACTGACACACATTAGATCATGACCCATTTGATAAGATTCTGTCCCAGGATTACCCATCTGACCCATAGACGTTTTATTACAGAAAGTGTATGCAACCCGTACACATGAGCAAAATACGTTCTGTCACTTTTTTACTTATGGATGGAAAATGGCTGGGGGCCCCCTGGTACTCCTTCAAGGACTCACTTTGAGAGCCACAGTGTAATGAAGGTTATGCATGATTAGTTGCCAGACACGAACCCTGAGACCACTTTTGTCTGCGAAATCTTTACATATGTACTTTATACACTTGGCTCACATTGCATGACATGATTCAAAATATTTTAAACGTCTCCACTGAGCTTTAGAATGCCTTATGTGGTAAATCTACTTCTGATGATCTAGTGAGAAATTATTTTGCTTGTTTTTCTTGTGACTGTTAAGAATGCTAAAGGAGGGTGTTGATGAAATGTGTGGGGCATTAAAGGTGCGTAGACTTCTCAGATGCCTGACAGGGCATGACCACAATCAACTCTCTCTCATGATTAACAGCTACAAACGACAAGCTGCAAACACATAACAACGTCTTAAATACTTGAAATACTTTACATATGGGTTGCATATATACTGGGGTGGAAATAAAAGGGCTTTAAAGGAGACCTATTAAACTGCTTTTCCAGTCCTATATTGTAGTTCTGTGACTCCTGTATGGCAGCTTTGCATGATTCAAAGTTTAAAAAAATAATTTTCTGCCTTATACTGGTCCTTCATGTAGGCCTTCATTTCAGCCTCTGTCTGAAACAAGCCGTAGATGCTCCTGTCTCTTTAAAGCCCCCCCTCTCAAAGCCCACTGTCTTCTGATTGGCCAAGACCTGAAGCATGTTACCGGGCTGTTGTTGCACTCAAAGCCGTTAGCGGTACAGGCAGACTGAGCGTTGCCGTGGGAGCTAATGACCATGTCCGTGTGTCGTCGAACGTAGCCGTTGGTAGAACGTGAACATCCAGCATTGTAACATTGTAGATAAGTCATAAAATATGGAAAAGAATAAAAGGTCTCCTTTAAAAGAAAATTGTACTGACCAATGTCTTTTGTTGCAATGCAGTGCTGACCAGGCTCTGGACAGGTTTGCCATGAAGCGCTTCTATGAAGACAAAGTGCTTCCTGTGGGTCAGCCATCTCAGAAAAGGTCAGTGTCCCTCACTTGTTGTTTATTATTTTAGTTTTGCCCCGTCTCACAAAGAAATCTGTGTCTTTCTGTGAACTGAAAACATTTAAAGCTGCGTTAATTGATTTTGATGGCCACCTAGAGGCAGTAGAACAAGCTGAAAACACAACAGTGACATAATATCACCATATGTTGTTAACATGCCTAACTTGTTAGCAAAAAAGTGTTTATCTACACGTGCAGCAGAAAAGGAGCAACATCAGCCTTCATTTGCAGTCGTGTTTCTACCTGACAAAAGTCCAGCATTCACTCTCTTCTTCTCTGGTTTGCTGTCTTCCAACTCAGAAGGAAAATATTTTAGCTGCAGAGTGATCTTCTACACCTCATGGACGAAAGTACTGGGACCCCTACACAGGTGTTTGATAGGGCTGAGGTCAGAGTTCAGCTCTGTGTGGGCCAGTCAAGTTCTTCCACACCAGGGATGCACCGAATGTTCGGCCACCAAAATTAATCACTTTCGGTGTTCAACCTAATGAGTCAAAAGACCGAATAAATTTTACCGAACAATCACGTTGCCATGTCAGCAGTGTGGAAGCATTTTAAAGTGTCACCGTTTGCAGACGCTGTTCTGCTGAACTGTCTCCCAGCACATCCGCTCCATCTGTGGCTGACTTCTTAGAAAAGAACCGCTTCTGTGTTTCTGTCACTCGTCTGTGAGAAGGAGATTAAGCTAGCCGCACCTGAATTTGGAGTGCACACGTTTTCAAGCCTTTACGGTAAGTGAAAGGGCCCAGAGCGAGCTGACAGGCAGGTTAGAGACTTTATCCTGTCAGTTTGTCTCTTTACAAAGACGAGTGCTGCAGGATGAGAGTCCTACCTGAAGAGAGGCTGTGAAGACCAGAACCACATAAAACAGCATTTATCAAACCGGGTCGGACTGGATGAATTTAGCGCGAGGAGGAAACACATGTGACAACGTCCGGTTTTCAAAATAAGGCGTCTGTACAGGATGGAAATAAGATTAATTGGATTATATTCACAGAAAGTATTAAACATATTACATGTGTCCATTAGAAGTAAATGTACACATTTACCGGACCTTCTCGGGCCCCGGACCCCCCACCATAGTCTCTCCACATCCTGTGAGAAACACTGAGGCAAAAGCACATTTTGACAGTTTAATTTATGCAGTGGTAAAAAAAAAAAAAGGCAATATAATTGGAAACAATGTGAATGTACTTGGTCGGTATTCGGCTATTTTTTTCATTATAAGCGGCTTTGGCCAAGAATTTTCATTTCGGTGCGTCCCTAGTTTGTTTATGGAGCTGGCTTTGTGCACGGGGTGAAACACAAACTGTTAAATTAAAATTGTATGCTGTAGCACTAAGCATCATTTATTGTAGCATTATTTCCCTTAGCTGATGGGGAGTTCAGAGTTGTTTGGGTAATTTTCTGTGGGTTTGTCACTACCTGCAACCCCTTTCACATTATACATAGCCAGTTGATCCTTTGCTAATATAAAAATAGTTTGATAAATGCAGTTTGAAAGTCGACTGATTGAGTTTATAATAAAAAGAAGGCTCATTCAGCACATTCACTGCTGTTAATAGAGGTCAAAGCCAACGGTTGCGTCTCTGTGTTTTGATGAACACAGGATTATACCTTCATCCCTTTGTTGTAAAACATTAAGAAGCATGATACACAGACAGAAGGGAGCCTAGTAGCATGTCTTTTCTCTACCTGTGCCCTACTCAGGTATGTGGAGTACTTCAGCGGCCTGCTTTCCGGACACATCAAGATCAACAACAAACCCCTGTTCCTTCACCACGTCATCATGCACGGCATCCCCAACTTTGAGTCTAAAGGAGGTGAGTGTCATGCACAGACACGCACTGACACATAAACATTTTCACTCACATTAATTCTTTTTTTAACAACCTTTTAAATGTGTTCCAGGTTGTCGTCCTTTCCTCAAAATCTACCAGGCCATGCAGCCCGTGTACACATCTGGGATCTAGTAAGTCTTAAAACATACTCACACTCAAATGCTTTTACAAGATTCCAGGGATAGCGAGCTCATAATGGCTCAATAATAAAAACCCTGATTTTCCTTTATAGCCTCTGCCTTAACTCCCCTGCCCCCCAATATACACATACATCATCCCTCTTGCCAGTTTACTCTGAGTGCTTGCCTCACATTATTGTATTTAGCTAGCCTCCCCAGCTGCAAGCTCTTGTTTCCCTACTTTAGATTTTTTCTGGTGTTATTTGTGACTGGAGAGCCAATGAAACAGGCAGACAGGCCTCTGTGTGGATGCCTGCAGGGTGTTCTGCAAGAGGACACCCATGGTTCCCAGGGCCAGACAGGAAATAATGGATTCTATGGCTTTCTGTTGTTGTTTTGGGAAGAGGGGAGGTCAGAAGAGAGGACAGGAGGGGGGAGCTGCACTGGCCCTCAGATGAGCGAGGCAGGCATACATGCTACACCACGTTTGACTGTGGTGCAGTTTAAATTGAACACAGACATAGTTTAGTATATGTGGGTGAACAGTAAAATCTAAAAAACGTGCACGCAGAACATGGGAAATATCTGTCTCTTTAGCTGCTAAATGCTCCATGTTCACTTGCACGCCACACGACTTTGTCTGTCTGCCCCTTTGGTGCTGAGACTCTTTGCTGAAAACATCTGCCTGCTGCAGCTAGACATGAGAATTTGCACGCCAGAAAACCAAAAGGATGAGATTAAAGATGCTAAAATGCGCGGTAGAGCTGAGGGGAAGTCCGGCTGCGGACTGTAGCATCGCTCACGCCACGCCCCCCTCGCTGGAAAGTCTGTAATGATTGGCTGTAGCCGCACCACCTTTCTGGATGGTCTGTTCTGCACATTTCTGCCTGATTTGTACCACGCATGTGTGGACATTCTAGTTTACAGAAGCCCGTGATTTAAAGATAAACTTTATTTACAGCACAATATTATACAATTACACAGGGAGTTATAGCATCAGCATAAAGACTGAAATTATAATTAAAGTCTTTTTCCCAATTTGTTCTTGTTTCCACAAGCTAAATGTTAAAGTGATCTGAGATTAATAATGCAAATTTCATCCATTAATACAACATAAAGATTTTTAAACTTAAACTCCGAGGATGTCCACAAATGCTGCATATAAAATATTCATTTTATATGCAACAACAGAATAAAATAGCACGATATGATAAAATAAGATTTAAAAAAAAACACATAACAATAAAAATGTGGGCAAGGATCTTACTAGAAACATAACACTTTGGATTAACATTAATAAAAAGCTTATTTTTAAAGATTATATGATTATTTAGATTAACAACATGAACAGCTGAAATGATGAAATGCTCACACCACGCCCCCTGAGCTACAGTCCTCAGCTGGACCCTTCTCATTCTCTGTGGGTTTGAGTTGAAGCCCTGGAGATGCAGCAGCTCATTCACCATGGGTGTATGAGATAACACAAATACATAATAAACAAATACATAAACAGAAGATTACATAACTACATACAGTTCACATACACAGATGACTGTATGTGTGTATGTGCACTGAATGTGTATAGAGTATATGTTACTGCGAGCAACACCGTTTACACACACAGTCATTTGATTCATTCTTCCTATAAAAATATTTATCAGTGCAGCTTTAAACTCAGTGATCCTCGTGTCCTGCCTGTATTTTCTTACGTGTTGCCTTTCCCCCTCTTTTAACGGTAGAGCTGTTATAAAGTGCTTTAAAGTTACTACTGTAAACAGTAAATCCTGTTGGTGTTGAACTGTCAACTCTACTACATATGTGTGTCCATTCCTACAATAGTGCCAATACTATAAACACATTAACGGCATACAGTGTGAAACAATCAGTGCACAAATACTTCCACACTGTCGACCCCTTAAAGCTCCAAATCACATTCCTCCCCACTTTCTCTCACATGATCTCTGTTAGCACTCTCCCCCCTTTGATCCTACTCTCCCACTTAGACAATCATGTAGACACTAATACCCAAAATTAGCCCACCACTGCACCGTGGTTGCGCTCTGTGATGGCCACTGTTAAAGCAAGTAAGAGATTGTTGGTAGACGATGTACATCATGTGCGCATGGTTATCCCCAGACAAGCAACATCAAAAAGAAGCCGATGGCAGCGGAGTAATGTTGGCTTGACCACAGGATTGACGAAGGCAGGCTTGTTATCTAACATGTTGTGGCTTTTTTTCTTTCTCAGCAATGTACAGGGTGACAGCCAGACCAGCATCTGTATTACCATTGAACCGGGTCTTCTTCTGAAAGGGGACATCCTGGTAAGAATGGCACAGACGCACAAGTGCCTGATGAAAAATACAGCAAAACACATTATGTGAATTTCAACTAGGAAACAGGAAACTGAAAACACTGCTGGAGAACCTTTTTTTCCTCATGTCAGTGGGTTAACTCCTAAGCGTGAAGCCATTAACAGAGAAAGTTTAAAGTCTTACTTTTTCCATTGTGCACTGCCAGAGATGATGATGGTGATGACGACGATTGAATGTCAGTGGAAGCAGCTACAGAGATGTAAAGAGGATTCACTGATTTGTTCAGTTTATTAGCAAAGAGGGAATCCTGTTGGTTTTTCCAATCTGATCATAGGTGCATGTACTGAATGCATGTGCTGCAGCAGTTTATAGCATCCAGTCACAGAAGAAATAGGGCCATAAAAACCTGGGGGAAGACAGTTGGACTGAGTCCTATACCTCAGTTTATAGGCCCTCATTAGCACACAATATTTGCTGGAAACTATGACGTCAGAATGGCAGTGGCACTTCCTTTCCAACAGCGTTCGGGAAACATGGTGCTATTTTAACATGACATAATCATTTAAAAGTAAGTTGTACATCAGATGGTCAGATTTTTGCACATTTGCACTTTTAAAATGAGAAAGAAATAACCTCAATAAAGAACCCCAAAAGCTTTTTTTGCATATAGTTCAAGCAGAAGAACAGCACACGTCAGCTAAGTTTCTGTTTCTGCTGTCATTCAGGCCATAATGTTATCCAGGAGATGTGCCCTGGGCTCATAATTTCAGCGTGGGGATTTTCAAAGGAGCACTCACTGTACGCTCGAGGCTGTTCCAGTTTGGCCCCTTCAGAGCTGAGCTCATATCTCATCCTTTATTCAAGACGGACTAATGGATTCTGTTGAATGCATCATCTGACTGAGCCGTGGCTGCTGATGCTCATTATTATTCAGATAACACAGAGAATGTGAGCTGTGGCCTTATGGCCAAATGGGAGAGACATTAGTCAGCATGGAGTGTGCTCCTGCATTTAAACTCCACTGGTGTGTTTGTGCACTGAAATTGAGTCGTGGATAATATGACTGCCCATAAAAAGTACTAATTACTGAATGGTTAGATGGAAAAAAAGACGGAGGAAAATCTGAATTCTGATCTGAATTCTCCAGTTTATTGGCTGTTTTCTTCTCTCATTGGCCAGCGTTAGTCATTTTTATTTCCAAGTTCAGTTTTTAAGTTAGCAAAAAGTCAGGGATTTTGAAAGGATAGCTCAACATTTTGTGAAATGTGCTTATTTGCTTTCTTGCCGAGAGTTCGATGACATGGTTGATACCCCTCTCATATCTGTAGTATATGAAGCCACAGCCAGAGGACAGTTAACTTAGCTTAGCTTAAACACTTGAAACATCTAGCCTGCGTCTGATGAAAGTTAACAAACCTAAATACCAGCACCTCCAAAGCTCTCAAAAAAACACACAATATATCTAATCAGCGTGAAAAACTAAATGTAAACATTACAAGCTGTGGTCATATGAGGGATTATGCGCTGGACTGTTTCTTGGCTGGGTGCAGTTACTTTCTGTCATTTTTACATCGCGGCTTTTGTATTAATTAAACAAATGAGACATGACATATTATTTAGTGAGCTTTGGAGAAACTATTAAGTTTTTTTATTTGAACAGAGCCATAAGTTTCCCCCTGTTTCCAGTGTTTGAGCTAAGCTAGGTTAACTAGCTAATGGCTTTAGCTTCGTATTTAGCATACAAGGTTGATTTAACATGTTGTAAAGTGAAATTGAGTTGGTTGGGTTGGTTAGCCTGTGCAGGAAAATGAAAATGTGTTAGGGCTCTGAAGGCAACATGTAAGCTTAAAATGAATGTTTTCCTCCTAATTTTTTGTTGTTGTTGCTGGCTCACCAGGATTGTTTTCCTAATGAAAAAAACCCCCAGACCCCTCAGTGGGAGGTTTGCCATATCCCAGAAATCTGCACTAAGCCACTGGAAATCCTACTTTACCTCGTCCTCAATCATTTATATGCTTGTGTTTATTTGGGAACCTTGAATGTTTTGGTCTTATTTGGCCCCACAAGTAGAAAATAAGTTTGTGGAATGCAACTCAGTCCAACCTTCCTCAAACTCATATTCAAATTTAGTTTTCAGCTGCTGCTGAGTCACTTGAAATTATTTTGTTTTACGATAAAATCTTTATAATTACACCAAATGAAACCATTGAAAACTTGCTCAATGTCATTGTCACAGTCTTTCAGTCTGTCAGTTAATTTATTTTTTACAGTCTCAGTTTGTGAGCTGCAAGTTGCTCAGGTGAAGTGTAAATTTCCATTTTATATTCCTGCAGTTCCAGTAAATGTGAGGTCCAGGATACCAGCAGCAGAAGATTATCCTGCGTTTCCTGTTTGAGTGTTGCTCTTAAAGCTGTTTCTGTGGGGAGATAATAATGCTTGTGGAGAGGCCATACATTACAAGGGATACATGCAAGGGATAAATAAAAAAAAGTCTAAAAACGCGTTTTCTAGCTCTGAGCCAGTGTAAAGAAGGAACTAGCATTGGATCAAACTGGCAAGTCTCACAACAATGTCAAATTGTGTTCACTTGATATTCTTAGAGGATGGAAGTGATTTGATTTTGCAGTTTATTTATTACGCGTTCTACAAAGAAGACAGGACCCTGAAATGATTAATTTGATATTCAGTGCACCTGTGGAGTGACTGATGCAATGTTGCTACTGTACACTTCTGTTTAAATATCTTCTCATGGTTTTTACCCTGCAGCTAAAGTGCTACCACAAGCGCTACCGTAGCCCGTGCCGAGACGTGATATTCCGGGTGCAGTTTCACACGTGCGCGGTTCACGACCTGGGGATTGTCTTCGGGAAAGACGAGCTTGATGAGACATTCAAAGGTAAGAATTCTGGAATAAAGTCCTTTGAATGCCCACAATGACTGTCCTTATGATCTGTGTGCAAACAATCATTTTTTAAATACTGCAAATAGTTATAGTTAATATCACCTAGGGCTGCAGCTAATTATTTTCATTGTCGATTAACCTGTCAGCTATTTTCTTGATTAATCAGTTTAGTTGTTTGCTCTATAAAAAGTCAGAAAATGGTGAAAAATGTCGGCCAGTGTTTAACAAAGTCCAACAAGACGTCCTCAAATGTCTTGTTTTGTCCACAACCCAAAGATATTCACTTTACTGTGATAGAGAAGTAAAGAAACCAGAAGATATTCACATTTAAGAAGTTTGAATCAGAGAATGTGTCTTAAAAAAATTACTCAAACTGATTAATCAACTATCAAAATAGTGGGCGATGAATTTATTAGTTGACAACTAATCGATTAATTGATAAATCGTTGCAGCGTTGTTTATACTGTATGCAAATGCATGCCTTTTAATTTGTTTTCTTGTGAACTATTTGCTGCTCTAATGTCCCTGTAATGACTGATGATGTACAATTAATAGTTTCATTATTTTGCTGTATACGGAAGACTTTTTTCTGTCCTGTGTGCAGATGACAGGTTTCCAGAATATGGAAAAGTGGAGTTTATTTTCTCCTTTGGACCAGAGAAAATGCATGGTGAGAATCAAAATGTGATTTATTTGTTGGCACACACATTTTCCACACATCATATTTCACCTTCATACCTATTTTTAGGTAATATTTGTCTTTAATTGACATGCAACAAAAGACCCCCGACGCACCTTCATATTTCAAATGTTCTGTTTTGTTGCAAATCTTTGTTATTGTTTCTTCAGTTAACAAAACAAAATAGATCATTGTAAGTTAAACTCATCACTGAAAGGAGAACATTATAGACTCTTCTTCATTCATTCTGAATGTGATTTAAAGACATTCATGTTTTCTGCTCTGTCTCTTTGTACTTCTGGTCAAGGTGTGGACCACCTGGAAAACGGGCCGAGTGTCTCGGTTGACTACAACACACAAGATCCTCTGATCCGCTGGGACTCCTACGAAAACTTCAATCAGAACTGTGAGGACACCACAGACGGTAAGTACAGTTGGATTATAGACTGTATGTCGCATTAAACTAAAGCTTGGCACACACACTGCCAGAGCTGAGTCCAAACACAAACACATGCACGCACTAATAGCAGCGTTAGATGCAGTTTTAAATGGAATATCTTAGTAATCCATCTCTGTGTGTCTATCACACACAGATACTATAAATGTATTTATTTTCATTTTGAGGTGTTAATTACACTGGCTCTTTACAACCGTGGCCCTTATTTTAAGTATGTAAATTATCACATTCATGCAAATGCATGTGCTTGAACAATTTTCTCAATTTTGACCAAAAACACCTCAGTAGGAGTCGATTTCTTGCACAAGCTTTCTTCATTAGCTGCATAGGTGTCATTTACACTGGGGATGCTGGGGACATGTCCCCACCAGTTTTTGAAAGTATTTGTTAAAATGGTGCTAATAAATTGCTTGCAACAAGAAATGTTAATTAACAAATGAGAATGCTTTGAGAAAGGTTTATTTGCACAATAAGAAACATGCAATGCAATGTAAATATCTAAGAAACAAGTTGCTGATTTCTAAATTATGTTACATTATATTTTTATAATTTGTATTGTCACCTTACACCTGAACTTTGTGTTTCCCATATATATATATATATATATATATATATATATATATAGTGAAAGTTGAAGAAACCTGATGGTTAAAGTGGTTTAAACTTTTCTTTATGGTCAGAACAAACACTTGATGCCAAACAGTGGATCACTTCACAAATCTGAGGCAAAACAATTATGATAATATCTTTGTCAACAAATTTGCATTGAGTGAAAGTAAAAAAAAAATTTTCAGTCCTTTTTCCTCAACACAATTCTGTCCGAAAGTGAGTGAGTTTGTGTCTTGAAGTATATTTTTAGAGACATACTCCTCGTGAACTTCTAGGTGAAAGGTCGCTTTACATTAATGTTGTGTAAACTGTACGTGTGACTGTGGAAATGCATTTGATGTGGTTGAGTGGAAGTTGGGTCTTTCGCTCACACACACACACACAAACAGTGTGTAACCAAGCTGACCTCTGCAACAAGGCTGTGTTTGTCTTTCTGCGTGACACAGAGGAAAGATTCATCCTGCGTCCTAATGGAGTTTAAAGACTTTCTCACACTTTCATCTCTTTAAAACACCCACGTGAGAGGGTCAAACTGAAGTCACACTGAAGTTCAAACCAGTGTTGGAATGTTTTAAGAGACAAGACACAGGGTAGCGGTTGTGCATGCAGGTATAACTGCTTAAGCCTTTTCATGATACAGCATTGTTTAGTTACAAAAACTCTGTACAATGCAAATTAAAAGTTGAAAAAATCAACCCAAATCAATCATTATGAGGTTTCCATGCTGTCCGACCGTAGTTGTAAATGGTCCCTCTTGTTTTGAAAGGCAGGACAGGCGTTGGTACCACTAAATTCATTTGTGGTGAAATTGTGGCCGCAGAAAAGCCAAAGGCCCTGTGGGATCCGAGCACAGTGCGAGACATTCCTGGGTTCAGCCACAGGCATGGACAGAGTCTTCCTGTTGAGGGAGCGGTGATCACTCTGTGACCAAAGTGCTGCTTTCTCTACCACCCAAAACAGGGAAGCAATGCTACGCCCATAGCGATAGCAGCGAGCCTGTTGTTTTGCCTTCCAAAGACATTAGTAAGCAAGTGTCGGGATGGTCGTTGTGGAATGCATTTATCTCAATAAAAGGTAGTGAGTACAAATTACAGTATTTCCCTTTGAAACGTAGTGAGGTGGAAGTATAAAGGAGCAGATAATGGAAATACTTTAGTAAATGTATTTATTTACATTCCACCACTCGGTTAACAAACAACACAAGTGCACACGAGGAGCTGCAAAAAACATACAAGCGAGTGAGTGTTGTGTCATGTTTATGTCTACAGAACAGACACTGTTCAGGAACTAACTGATAATTTTTCAACAAGTGACAATTTAGAGCGGTGTTGTCAAAAGTTACCCCACCCCCTTCCCACCCGGAGTGTTTTCATAGGTCTCCCAGATAGCCAAAGGTCAAAGGTTAGTTGGCTGCCTTCTATCACTGCCCATAAAGTGTGTAGCCCGCACTCAGCGTCAGCTTGAAATAGGCCTCGCTAAAATAGAAGAGCTGTAAGCCTCCTCTCATTCTGTTTCAGTGAAGGTGCTTGTGTGTGTGCGTGTGCGCGCATCTCCTCCTGTCTGTCATCTGATGGTCATGTAATGGTCAAGGCTGAATTTGACTTTACACACATACACAAAAACAGAATTACAGATTTACACATGGGCAGAAACGCAGGATAGACACAATCACAACACGTTATTTAGCTACTTTAGACTTGCAGTTCTCGATACAGCAGTCCTTTCTGCTATGGCCATAGGTGTCATTTACACTGGGGACACTGGGGGACATGTTCCCACCTCTTTTTGAAAGCACTTGCTAAAAGTTTTCTGAAAATTAGCTTGCAACAAGAAATGTTAAATAAATAAAAATTCTATGAGAAAGGTTTACTTCTACAATAGGAAAACATTGAAATGCAATGTAACTATAGAATAAACAGATCTGCCTTATGCAAAACAAAAGTAACTTAGGCTAAAAAACAAGCTTCTGATTACTGCATTATATTTGATTATATTTTTATAGCCTATTCCCTTCATATAAATAAAGACATTCCCACTATAAGTTGCAGAAAATGTCTCTAGAATCCAGGGAGGACCCCCCCTATTTCATTAATGAATATTTCTTCTAAATAGCATTGGAGTATCTTGTTGTCTTGTTCTCGTGACTCCAATATTGTGCGTTATCATGTGTTGTGGACTAACTGTTTGGTCACACCCCTAATCTGAACCCTTAAATGTCCCCACCACTTTTCAGCACAAAGGCTTTATGCAGTCAGCACAGTCTGACTGATATACACTGCATTTTAAATGGGCTTAGCTTGCAAATAGCACTTAAAGAAACAGTTAAAAGGGTTTCCAGGAAACTGGAGTGTTTCCACTGTCATTTAGCTTCACACTTGTTAGTACTGAAAAGGCAATTAGCTACTCTGAAGAAGTGGCTTTTAGCGGTGAGGGGGACAGGAGAGGCCGTATATCTTCACTGGTGTTAGTTAGAAAGTATTGTTGTTGTTGGGCTTGCATTTTGTCACGATTGCAGCTGCTTCCCTCAGGAAAGTTTAAGGCTACTTACAAGTGTTTGCTCTCTTTGCATATCAAGGCATTGCATAAAGCTTAAAATTATAGGACCAATGTTTTGTTGGGATCAACATTGGGTAAGTGCTGTCTATGTGGTCGTTGGTTTCTAAAGATTGATGTCGACTTTCATTGTGTTTATTTCGTAAAAACAGCCACAGCTGCTGTGGGTGAGTTTCAGCACAGGGATTTTTGTCGTGCCTGTACCCTGCATAAACACACCAAGAAAATATCCAAAATGTCGCACTTTATCTTTTACAAACAATGTTAGTATCAAAGAAAGGGTATGTCTTTAATAATCAAATCCTTAGATAGCAAACAGGTCAGTTTTTCTAAAGGATGCACATGGTCCTCATGACCTGTTGTAGCACTATGTGTTACCCTTGGTCTTGGACTAATGTGATTTCAATTCTGTACTTGTCTTTATAGAATTGAAATCATCAAGGCTGCACTCTGACTGAAAATAACACTATGTCACAAAAAAAGAGGCTGGGTTAGTTAGTTGTTTCAGGTGCCTGTGAGAAGATCCAAGAAGTCCTGTTTGAGAAACATATTGCACAAGTTTGAAGGTGAATCAAATGCAAAAATACTTCAAAATGGTTCATAACAGTAGAAGACCTCTGATATCCTGATATATAAATGGAGCATAGTGTTACTTCAGGTAGACCACTGAAGTTGCACTTGCATTAGCTGATTGGTATCAGATGCTTCATTCATGCTTTACTATCACAGGCACAGTCATTAGCTGTTTGCCTACCAGGTGATTAATAACTTTATCAAATGTATTAATTATTTGTATTCTAATTCAGATTTAACTGTATATCCCTTTGCTTTAAATGATAAATTCTTTGACAGAGGTGTCTTCTACTTACATTTGCATTTTCTACAAGCTGATTCTGTCAGTCACCTGAATCATGCACCAGTCTAATCGGACAGCCCTGCCGGCGAGGGGTTAGGGTGGTGAGCTATGATGATGCTGATGCTAACAGCCTTTTAACAAGCTGCAGGAGAATCTGAAAGCTCATGTACTGTAATGTTTTGACAGAGAAGTGTGGATCATACAGTATTTCATATTTCCAGAATGACAGACCCTTGTGTGACCATTCAGTCCCAGTGATTGACTCAGATGATGATGATAATAATAATAATAATAATAATAATACATTTTATTTATAGTTGCCTTTCTGAACACTCAAGGTCACCTCACTAAACACAATAAAACAGTACAGCAATAAATCGATAGAATTAACAACTATAATTATGGGGTGAATAAAATCAGGGTACAAAACAACTGGAAACAAAGATTGCTGTGATCACGTGGGATATGCCAGTTTAAAAAGATGTGTTTTCAGGCGGGATTTAAAAATGGAAAGCGAGTCAATGTTGCGGATGTCTGGTGGAAGAGAGTTCCAGAGACGAGGGGCAGAGCGGCTGAAGGCTCTGAACCCCGTGGTGGTCAGACGAGCAGGAGGTACAGTGAGGTGAATAGAAGAAGAAGACCACCTAATAGTATGGGTGGGTGTGTTGATATGAAGGAGGTCGGTGAGGTACAGAGGAGCGAGGTTATGAATGGCCTCTGAAGGTCTGGAGCAGAGTCTTGAAATCAATGCGGTATTTAACTGGGAGCCGATGAAGCTGCTGAAGGACAGGAGTAATATGTCAGTATATATTACATACTGATACATATCAGTCTAGGATCACACCAAGAATCTTGACCTGAGGGTAAGGGAAAACTGTGGAGTTGTCAATGGTAAGAGAAAAACTGTCAGATTTAGTCAAAGTGGATTAGGTGCCAATGAGGAGAACCT